AGCAATACAAACTCAAAAGTTATCAAACAGTGGTCAGACAAAGAGGGATTCTGTGGGAACACCACTAAATGTTCAATTTCAATACCATACACCAAAACAAGGTCGAGGGTGTGGTTAAAACAGTGAGTCGGTTCATGAACACTCTGAGAGAAGCCAATGGAATCTAACAGAGAGATAAACGCAGTACTAAAGCTGTCATTCTCAACATCCACATGAATATTAAAATCTCCTACAATAATAACTTTGTCCGTTTTAAGGACTAAAGTTGACAAAAACTCTGCTAATTCAGATAAGAATTCAGAGTACGGGCCAGGTGCTCGGTACACTATAACAAAAAGAATTGGTTGCAGTGATTTCCAACTTGGGTGCGAAAGACTAAGAACAAGACTTTCAAATGAGTTATAGTTTAGTTTAGGTTTAGAGCTGATTAGTAGGCTAGAGTCGAAGATAGCTGCAACTCCACCTCCTCGGCCTGTGCCTCGAGGAATGTGAGTATTAATATGACTGGGAGGGGTGGATTCATTTAGGCTAACATATTCTCCATCACCCAGCCAGGTTTCAGTAAGACCAAATAAATCAATATCATAATCTGATATTAGTTCATTTACTAGTACACCTTTAGAAGAGAGAGATCTGATGTTTAAGAGTCCACATTTAACTCTCCTATTCGTTTGCACTATTGCTCTTGTGGTTTTAATTTTTATGAGGTTTTTATGCACAGCTCCTCTTCTGTTTACCTTTTTAAATAATTTCGATGGTCGGGGGGCAGACACCGTCACTATAGGATTTTCACTAAGTAACTCCTGAAATGGAGGAGCAGAGAAGTGTGTTAGACTGCGACTCCGCGTAGGGTTTTGGGTGGATAACTGCTGAAAAAGAAGGGCAGAGAAGTGTGTTAGACTGAGACTCTGCGTAGGGTTTTGGGTGGATAACTGCTGAAAAAGAAGGGCAGAGAAGTGTGTTAAACTGCGACTCTGCCTCCTGGTCTCAACTCTGGGTTGTCATGGATTTGATCCACTAATAAACTTGGCCAGATTTCTAGAAATGAGAGCTGCTCCTTCCCAAGTGGGATGGATGCCGTCTCTCCGGGTCAGACCAGGTCTTCCCCAGAAAGTCTGCCAATGATCAACAAAGCCCACATCGTTTGCTGGACACCACCTCGACAACCAGCGGCGGAATGACGACATGCGGCTATACATGTCATCACTGGTCAGATTTGGCAGGGGTCCAGAGAAAACTACTACAGTGTGACTGTTGTTACAGTCTGGCTGTTGTTACAGTCTGGCTGTTGTTACAGACTGGCTGTTGTTACAGTCTGGCTGTTGTTACAGACTGGCTGTTGTTACAGACTGGCTGTTGTTACAGTCTGGCTGTTGTTGCAGTCTGATTGTTGTTCAAGACTGACTGTTGTTACAGTCTGATTGTTGTTCAAGACTGACTGTTGTTACAGACTAGCTGTTGTTACAGTCTAGCTGTTGTTACAGTCTGGCTGTTTTTCCAGTGTGACGGTGTGTTACAGTCTGACTGTTGTTACAGTCTAGCTGTTGTTACAGTCTGGCTGTTTTTCCAGTGTGACGGTGTGTTACAGTCTGACTGTTGTTACAGACTGGTTGTTGTTACAGTCTGGCTGTTGTTGCAGTCTGACTCTGTGTTACATTTTGACTGTTGTTACAGTCTGATTGTTGTTCAAGACTGACTGTTGTTACAGTCTGTTTGTTGTTCAAGACTGACTGTTGTTACAGACTAGCTGTTGTTACAGTCTGGCTGTTGTTACAGTCTGGCTGTTGTTACAGACTGTTGTTGTTACAGTCTGGCTGTTGTTACAGTCTGGCTGTTGTTACAGACTGGCTGTTGTTACAGTCTGGCTGTTGTTGCAGTCTGGCTCTGTGTTACAGTCTGGCTGTTGTTACAGTCTGATTGTTGTTCAAGACTGACTGTTGTTACAGTCTGATTGTTGTTACAGTCTGACTGTTGTTACAGTCTGGCTGTTGTTACAGTCTGGCTGTTGTTACAGTCTGGCTGTTTTTACAGTCTGGCTGTGTGTTACAGTCTGGCTGTTGTTACAGTCTGGTTGTTGTTACAGTCTGGCTGTTGTTACAGTATGACTGTTGTTACAGACTGGCTGTTGTTACAGTCTGGCTGTTTTTCCAGTGTGACGGTGTGTTACAGTCTGACTGTTGTTACAGACTGGTTGTTGTTACAGTCTGGCTGTTGTTACAGTGTAACTGTGTGTTATAGTCTGGCTGTTGTTACAGTCTGGCTGTTCTTACAGTCTGACTGTTGTTACAGACTGGCTGTTGTTACAGTCTGGCTGTTGTTACAGTGTAACTGTGTGTTATAGTCTGGCTGTTTTTACAGTCTGGCTGTTTTTACAGTTTGACTGTGTGTTACAGTCTGGCTGTTGTTACAGTGTAACTGTGTGTTATAGTCTGGCTGTTTTTATAGTCTGGCTGTTTTTACAGTCTGGCTGTTGTTACAGTCTGGCTGTTTTTCCAGTGTGACGGTGTGTTACAGTCTGACTGTTGTTACAGTCTGACTGTTGTTACAGACTGGTTGTTGTTACAGTCTGACTGTTGTTACAGACTGGTTGTTGTTACAGTCTGGCTGTTGTTACAGTGTAACTGTGTGTTATAGTCTGGCTGTTTTTACAGTCTGGCTGTTGTTACAGTCTGGCTGTTGTTACAGTCTGGCTGTTGTTACAGTCTGGCTGTTGTTACAGTCTGGCTGTTGTTACAGTCTGGCTGTTGTTACAGTCTGGCTGTTGTTACAGTGTAACTGTGTGTTATAGTCTGGCTGTTTTTATAGTCTGGCTGTTTTTACAGTCTGGCTGTTTTTACAGTTTGACTGTGTGTTACAGTCTGGCTGTTGTTACAGTCTGGCTGTTGTTACAGTCTGGTTGTTGTTACAGTCTGGCTGTTTTTCCAGTGTGACGGTGTGTTACAGTCTGACTGTTGTTACAGTCTGACTGTTGTTACAGACTGGTTGTTGTTACAGTCTGGCTGTTGTTACAGTGTAACTGTGTGTTATAGTCTGGCTGTTGTTACAGTCTGGCTGTTTTTCCAGTGTGACGGTGTGTTACAGTCTGACTGTTGTTACAGTCTGACTGTTGTTACAGACTGGTTGTTGTTACAGTCTGGCTGTTGTTACAGTGTAACTGTGTGTTATAGTCTGGCTGTTTTTACAGTCTGGCTGTTTTTACAGTTTGACTGTGTGTTACAGTCTGGCTGTTGTTACAGACTGGTTGTTGTTACAGTCTGGTTGTTGTTACAGTGTAACTGTGTGTTATAGTCTGGCTATTGTTACAGTCTGGCTGTTTTTCCAGTGTGACGGTGTGTTACAGTCTGACTGTTGTTACAGACTGGTTGTTGTTACAGTCTGGCTGTTGTTACAGTGTAACTGTGTGTTATAGTCTGGCTGTTTTTACAGTCTGGCTGTTTTTACAGTTTGACTGTGTGTTACAGTCAGACTGTACTACAGCCTCGCCATGTGTTGCAGTCTGACTGTGTGCTACAGTGTGACTTGTGTTACAGTTTTGCCGTTGTTACAATGTGACTTTAACACACAGTCTGGCTGTTGTTACAGTGTGACTTTTGTTCCAGTGTGACTGTTGTTACCGTCTGGCTGTTGGTACTATCTGGCTGTTGTTACAGTGTGACTTTTGTTCCAGTGTGACTGTGTGTTACTGTTCTCATTGTCCATCTAACACGACAGCTTTGATGGACATGAAGTGGATTTATCTCTGATGGACCAGCTGAATACACAGGATATGGAAATGCAGAGCTCAACACTGTGGGTGACAAAGTTTGCAGAGCGATAGGAAAGCTCACTTCATATCTAACAGGTTGTTGAGCCCTGGTTCAGAGGGTTTTAATGAATCTGACCCGAAACACTTGTACAGCGTCAGAACATCCAAAGGCGTCCAGAACAAGAGCTTTTATTATGAAGGAGAAGAGGAAACATTCATTTACCAACTTCCTCCTGTGATGTGAATCTTGTCTGCATGAGGCTTTAGACTTTGTGTGTCAGACAGTCAGACAGGATTCTGAAGTGCAGTGATTCTGCTGATCCTCACTTCCTCCACTCTCACTTCCTTGATTTCATCCGGCCAGTGACGAGCCAGGGAAACTCTGTTGCCAGGCGAGGAAAGGGGAAGAGGACCTGATCACATGCTCGGTGTGTCATGTGTTCAGACCTGACAGGAAGCTGGTTTCATGTTAGAGTGAGGGGTGAAGAAGTAAAGGCTCTGAGGTTAGCATGCTAATAGCTAGCCTTCTGTAGGTTCAGTTCACTACATTACAGAAGCTCTCTCTCATTTGAACCCACCGAAACCCACTCTAACCTTACTTGTTCCCACCTGAACCCACCTGGTAGGCTAACTTTATTGTCCCCAAGGGGAAATTCTGCTTGGGCACAGTGCAGTGTTGCTTCATAACAAACATCACAAGAATGTTGTACTTCACAAGAGGAAAATATAAACACAGAAGAAAAATACATTGTTGACAACATAGTTTCATGGATTGGGTGGTGGTGGTGATGGCACAATGGATAAGATGCCTGCCTTTGGTGTGAGAGACCCGGGTTCCCCCACTGTGACCCATCCACAATTGTGTCCCTGAGCAAGATACTTAACACCTAATTGCTACAGAGTCGTGCGACTTCTGACATGTACAGCAATTGTAAGTCGCTTTGGATAAAAGCGTCAGCTAAATGAATAAATGTAATGTAAATGTAATGGATTAAAGTGCTAACGTGCTAGTGTGGTTGTTGCACATTGCTCCATTGAACTGAAGTTTGTGTAACATGCATCTGCTAAGGTGCTAGTGTGTTTATTGCATGTTGCCCTGTTGCACCAAGATAACAATTAAAGTGCTAAAGTGCTCACATATTTACTGCACACAGCTCTATTTTACATTGTTCAGCAGCTTATGTGTGTAATGCACATACAGTACTCTATAGTAGTAGCATCAGTTGTAGTATTTGATGGCTGTACTGTGTTCCAGGCGGAGGGGGAGGACAGTCTGAAAAAGATGCAGCTGATGGAATTAGCCATCCTGAACGGGACCTACAGAGACGCTAATGTCAAACCCTGTAAGATACCGACCAATCAGAGGCTGCCTGACCAGTCACTGACCAATCAGAAAGCAGAACAACCACACCTTACTTTGTGCTAACTGTCCTCCTCCTCTTCTTCCTCCTTGTTTTTCTCCCCCTCGTCCTCCTCCTCCTGCCCCCCCCAGCCGCCGTCTCCTTCTCTCTTGCAGCCTCCTGTCAGACTCCTCGTTTCCTCTCTGGCCCTGCCCCCGTGTTGGCTCCACCCACCACCCTGCGTACACCTGCCCCCACTGGCCCCACTCTCATGCCTCTGATTCGTCAGATCCAGACGGTGCTGCCCAATGGGACGCCTCACCCAACAGCTCTGATGCCTGGGGCGGGGCCCGAGTCCGGTCTGATTTACGCGTCGCCGTACGACTACCCCTACGCTCTGGCGGCGCCGGCTTCCATCTTGGAGTACCCTCTGGACTCTGGTGGGGTGTTAGGTAAGCCTGCCCCCCCCTGCTCCTGCGACTGCTCCCCCGCGCCTCATCACCACCCCCACGGCCAGTGGAGCCCCGCCCCCACACTGCTCCTCAGACACACCTCCTAAAAGATGGAATAGAAGTGCCCCTCCACGCCACACACCTCGTTCACAGCTGAAACCTGCAGCATGGCCCCCTGCTGGACGGAGTCAGAAACTGTGAACTCTGATTGGAGGAAAGGGATGAGTTCATTCACATCAGCTGAACATGTTCCAACATTAAAGACAGCGGAGAGTTTATTATTTCTGTAGGAAGGCGGTGGCTTCTGCTGTCCTTCCTGTCAGTAAACCATCAGAACATAAAATCCAGTATGAAGTTTCTGCTGTAAAACATGTTAGGGGATAAAAGCAAATTCATCTTCAGTCCACAGGGGGGCATAACTGCTCCAACACAATGTTTTAACTTCTGCAGTCAGGTGATGTGTCTGCTGTGAACAAGGCGTTCAGGTACAACTGTGTTCACTCTGCCTTTACTGTCGTCTGATTGGCTGAATATGTTTGTACTACTGTTTTACACACAGAGTTTTATTTAACAAGATCAAAGTGACGTTAGAATCCATGTTCATCACTTTCAACCTGAAGTCATGTGACCGCAGCTTACTGCACTGAAGCACGTACCACCTGGAAATCTTTGACAGTGAAACCAACACACCTCCAACACGCCTCCAACACACTACCAACACACCTCCAGCACGCCACCAACATACCTCCAACATACCACCAACACGCCTCCAATACACCACCAACATACCTCCAACATACCACCAACACTTCTCCAACACACTACAAACACATCTCCAACACGCCTCCAATACACCTCCAATACACCTCCAACACGCCACCAACATACCTCCAACATACCACCAACACGCCTCCAATACACCTCCAATACACCTCCAACACGCCTCCAATACACCTCCAACACGCCACCAACATACCTCCAACATACCACCAACACACCTCCAATACACCACCAACATACCTCCAACATACCACCAACACGCCTCCAATACACCTCCAACACGCCACCAACATACCTCCAACATACCACCAACACACCTCCAATACACCACCAACATACCTCCAACATACCACCAACACGCCTCCAACACACTACAAACTCACCTCCAACACGCCTCCAATACACCTCCAATACACCTCCAATACACCTCCAACACGCCACCAACATACCTCCAACATACCACCAACACGCCTCCAATACACCACCAACATACCTCCAACATTCCACCAACACGCCTCCAACACACTACAAACACACCTCCAACACACCTCCAATACACCTCCAATACACCTCCAACACGCCACCAACATACCTCCAACATACCACCGACACGCCTCCAACATACCTCCAACATGCCTCCAACATGCCGCCAATATGCCACCAACACGCCTCTAACACACCTCCAATACCCCTCCAACACCACCAACATGCCTCCAACACAGATCTGTGTTCTGATACTAAATGACATTTTGGGATTGATGCTAACTGCTAACTGTACTAAACTGTGTTGTCAGCGGCAGAATCACACTGTAAAGCTCCAAACAACTTGACTTTTTTAAAGATGTATTAAGACCTGAGATGAATTATAAATAAGGAAAAAAACAGGGAAATGCCAAAAATCCTCAGTTAAACATGTCTAAACAGGAGACAAAGGGCTGTAAAACAGGATTTAGGGCATAAAGTAAAACACTGGTTTAGATTCAGAACCACTGAAGTCCTTTAAAGCACAGAACAGACTGTTGTTTTCTCAATATTATGACTTTATTCTTTAAATTTGTTCTTGTTTTCCAAGCTGTGGAAAAGGCTCTGATAGCCAATAAGAGATCGAGCTGAAGGGGGCGTGGTCCTAATTATGACATCACAGAAAGACTTGTTTGTTGTTTAAACCTGAAAGCCTCATCTCATCTCATCTGTAACCACAATCTTTGACTTTTGTGACTTAACCTGCATTTCTAATGATGTTCTCTGTGTAGCTGTGATGATGTGTTGACACACCTGTACCCGAACGTACCTGTACTAGAGCGTACCTGTACAGGAGCGTACCTGTATCCGATTGTACCTGTACAGGAGGGTACCTGTACCCGAGCGTACCTGTACAGGAGCGTACCTGTATCCGAGCGTACCTGTACAGGAGCGTACCTGTACCCGAGCGTACCTGTATCCAATTGTACCTGTACAGGAGGGTACCTGTACCCGAACGTACCTGTACTAGAGCGTACCTGTACAGGAGAGTACCTGTATCCGATTGTACCTGTACAGGAGGGTACCTGTACCCGAGCGTACCTGTATCCGAGCGTACCTGTACAGGAGCGTACCTGTATCCGAGCGTACCTGTATCCAATTGTACCTGTACAGGAGGGTACCTGTACCCGATTGTACCTGTACAGGAGGGTACTTGTACCCGAACGTACCTGTATCCGATTGTACCTGTACAGGAGGGTACCTGTACCCGAGCGTACCTGTACTCGAGCGTACCTGTACCCGAGCGTACCTGTACAGGAGCGTACCTGTACCCGATTGTACCTGTACAGGAGCGTACCTGTACCCGATTGTACCTGTGCAGGAGCGTACCTGTACCTGTGCAGGAGCGTACCTGTACCCGAGCGTACCTGTACAGGAGGGTAACTGTACCTGGACTTACCTGTACCTGTATGAACTGCTGTGTGACACTGCGAACAGCTGACTTCATGACGGTTTGGGTGATTGTGGTCTGGTGCAGGTGCGGTGGCCGCTAAAGTTTGGAGACAAGAGCTGTGAGTCCATCCTTACCGAAGGATGGTGACTGTAGACCATAGGTTAGTTCGCTCAGACCCGCCCCCTATTCCTATACCACTTTTCCCATAATCCACTTCTTTACCTCAGCTGACATCTGTTCAGGGCATTTTCACACCAACAACCAGCTGAGTTCACCAGAGTGAACCCCGAGTGATCAGGCGACAGAAAGTCTCCGGTCCTTTAACGTCTGACACACCGTATCAGAGTACCTCCAGGTGTGAAAACGGCCTACAGGTAACAGGAGAGGTGGTTTCTGGGAAATGCAGTAGGGATGTGCAATGGTGAAGCCCCCCTGTCAGCCCACCAGGATGTGATCCAACAGAAGCTAAATGTCGCAGCACAGGGATGATATTTGTTAGTTCAGAAATGTTTAAATGACTTCCTGCTCCATCATTTTGAGGACTTTACGGACCCGCCGTGATGTTGATGAAAAATAATGGACCAGACACTTTTAACTGGAAGAAGAGGGACAAACTGTATTTAATCCAAGTCTTAAAAAGATGTTTTAATAATATTACTTTCATCTCTGTAGGTCCAAAGAGAGGGCCAGGAATGGTTAGCCTAGCTGAGCACAAACTAGTTGCTAACTCCTGCTAAGACCACATGATTCTCCACTCAAACATGTTAGAAGGTGGTTGTTCTCTACAGATGGAGCTATGCTAGCAGTTTCCCCTTGCGCCCCAACTTTGTGCTAAGCTAGGCTAAGTTAGAACCAAACACTGGAAGAGACGGAGAACAAGAGTTTGGAAAAAGTTCTCAGCGGTTAATGTGACGTTAGCTAATGTTAGTGTTTGTCTGCGCTCAGATCAAGTCTGTTTGACTTTTTGCCACAAATGAATTTAGTTTTTCAACTGTCAGACCGGTCAGGTCCCTCAGAGCCAGAGTGGTGATTGGACTGGAGACCTTAAGGTTTCTCTGAACCGACAGACCCGTAAAACTCCTTTATCCAACCTTAGTCCGAGACAGTGACGCGCCCTGAAAAACCGGACCATGAACCTCTGGATGAAGATCCTGATGTTCCTGCTGATGAACGAATGTTTGTTTATCTCCAGTATTCAGGACAGAGAATCCAGTCCTGATCCAGAGGCGGAAAGGCTGTGGCTGCCATGATGTCACAGCATATAGCTTTAGACCAATCAGATTGTTTAACATCCAGGAGAGTTCCAGAGTTACTGTGAGGTCACGGTCATCAGCAGGAATGATTTCCTCTCTCACTCTGAAGGGTCCAGAACTGGTCCAGAAGCAGAATCCTATCCTATAGTATTTTTGTGAGGAGTTGTTACTAAACCGATCAAACGGTAATCTTATTGATCACAAAACAAAGTAACCGATGGTAACACTGACAGAATTAATGAAGAACTGTGATGCAGCAGAGTCCTGGTCCTGGGATCCTGCCTGAGACCTCCATCACAGTATCCAATTCATTCGTCTAAACTCAACACACATCTCGTATAACAGCCATGTGGCCCAGACAGGATTTATTCACGTCTCCATGGTGACGGCGTCAGGCTGGATGCTGTCACGCTGCAGCGGGTTGCGTTCAGGGGCGACCAGTAAACCTGTGTGTTTGCTGCTGCCTGTGATGGCGGCAGACAGGTGGACGACATGTGTCTTCAGTAGCTCGGTGTGATGTCAGTGCAGAAAAACAAGTTCACAATTTAGTGTTTTTACAACAACTCGGTGAAACCTGGGCCAGGAGCTCCAGGTTCAGGATGTCAGCAGGGAAACAGAGCTGGGAGGTCTGAGGACTCCCTGGTTCCTCTGTTCTCTCTCTCTCTCAGCGGTTTCTTTAAACATTACAAACATCTGTGGCTTCTTCAGAAACACATTTAATAATCTGACTTTGCACTGAGCTCTGAAAGAACTACTTTTGTCCTCCTTCTCCTCCTCCTCCTGCCGCCAGCACGGCAGACATTTTTAAACTCAAACCTCAAAGACAATGATTTAAAGGGAATAAATGTTTTGCCCTGAGCAGCTTCAGGTCACTTTGAGAAGATGAAGAGTATGATGTATCTACAGAAATTATTCCACTTGAGACTTTGTTTTCTGTTTTATTATTTCTGTCATTTTTTGTTGTTGCAAAGAAAGTAGTATTTACTCGTGGCTTGTTGAGATATATAAATCTATGTAAATTATGTGAAAGCAAGTATAAAGCAGGAATGTAAATGCGAGATCTGACCAGTAGAGGGCAGTCTGTAGGAAAAGATTTTAAGTGCCACTTTAGAAATATCCTCTATTTTTGAATTTGTCGTTCTTTGTCCAGATGACATCCCTGTTTCTATGAATAATAGTGTCTTTACACTGAGGGCTGTTAGCACCAAACCTTCTGTTTAGGAAAAGACAACTTGTAGTGTTGCTTTCTGTCATCACAGCAAAGATTTCATGTTTGTTGTAAAGAGAAAATATTCGTTTTTGAAATTCAATAAAAGCTATTATTGAGTAAAAAGAGCAGAAAGATATCAGTGTCCTCTGTATGAACAGGAATCCTTTTTCTTTTTCCATTCAGACTTGATTTATTTATTTTACCTTCATCATCTGCTGCTGTTTCACCGGTCAGTTTGTTCAAAACATGATGGGCCGAGACAGTGACATGCCCTGAGAAGCCGGACCATGAACCGTCCAAGTCTGGATGAAGAACCTGATGTTCCTGAAACCACCACAAAGACACTCAAAACAAAAGAGACATAAAACCACCACAAAGACACACAAAACAAAAGTGACACAAAACTACCACAGAGAAACTTAAAACCACCAGAAAGACTCTGAAAACAAAAGAGAACAAAACTACCACAAATAAACTCAAAACCACCACAAAGAAACACAAAACAAAAGAGACATAAAACCACCACAAAGACACACAAAGCCACCACAAAGAGAAATAAACCCACCACAAAGAGACACAAAACAAAAGAGACATAAAACCACCACAAAGACACACAAAGCCACCACAAAGAGAAATAAACCCACCACAAAGAGAAATAAACCCACCACAAAGACACAGAAAACAAAAGAGACATAAAACCACCACAAAGACACACAAAACAAAAGAGATATAAAACCACCACAAAGACACACAAAACAAATGTGACATAAAACCACCACAAAGACACACAAAACAAGAGACATAAAACCACCACAAAGACACACAAAACAAAAGAGACACAAACCTACCACAAAGAAACTTAAAACCACCACAAAGAGACACAAAACAAAAGAGACACAAACCTACCACAAAGAAACTTAAAACCACCACAAAGAGACACAAAACAAAAGAGACACAAAACCACCACAAAGACACACAAAACAAAAGAGACATAAAACCACCACAAAGACACACAAAACAAAAGAGACACAAAACCACCACAAACAGACACAAACCTACCACAAAGAAACTTAAAACCACCAGAAAGACACTCAAAACAAAAGAGACATAAAACCACCACAAAGACACACAAAACAAAAGAGACACAAACCTACCACAAAGAAACTTAAAACCACCACAAAGACACACAAAACAAAAGAGACACAAACCTACCACAAAGAAATTTAAAACCACCAGAAAGTGACGCAAAACAAAACAGACACAAAACCACCACAAAGACACACAAAGCCACCACAAAGAGACATAAAACCACCACAAAGACACAGAAAACAAGAGACATAAAACCACCACAAAGAGACACAAAACCACCACAAAGACACACAAAACAAAAGAGACACAAACCTACCACAAAGAAACTTAAAACCACCACAAAGACACACAAAACAAAAGAGACACAAACCTACCACAAAGAAATTTAAAACCACCAGAAAGTGACGCAAAACAAAACAGACACAAAACCACCACAAAGACACACAAAGCCACCACAAAGAGACATAAAACCACCACAAAGATACAGAAAACAAGAGACATAAAACCACCACAAAGAGACACAAAACCACCACAAAGACACACAAAACAAGAGACATAAAACCACCACAAAGACACAGAAAACAAGAGACATAAAACCACCACAAAGAGACACAAAACCACCACAAAGACACACAAAACAAGAGACATAAAACCACCACAAAGACACACAAAACAAATGTGACATAAAACCACCACAAAGACACACAAAACAAAAGAGACACAAAACCACCACAAAGAGACATAAAACCACCACAAAGACACAGAAAACAAGAGACATAAAACCACCACAAAGAGACACAAAACCACCACAAAGACACACAAAACAAGAGACATAAAACCACCACAAAGACACACAAAACAAATGTGACATAAAACCACCACAAAGACACACAAAACAAAAGAGACATAAAACCACCACAAAGAGACACAAAACAAAAGAGACACAAAACCACCACAAAGACACACAAAACAAAAGAGACATAAAACCACCACAAAGACACACAAAACAAAAGAGACACAAAACCACCACAAACAGACACAAACCTACCACAAAGAAACTTAAAACCACCAGAAAGACACTCAAAACAAAAGAGACATAAAACCACCACAAAGACACACAAAACAAAAGAGACACAAACCTACCACAAAGAAACTTAAAACCACCACAAAGACACACAAAACAAAAGAGACACAAACCTACCACAAAGAAACTTAAAACCACCAGAAAGTGACGCAAAACAAAACAGACACAAAACCACCACAAAGACACACAAAGCCACCACAAAGAGACATAAAACCACCACAAAGACACAGAAAACAAGAGACATAAAACCACCACAAAGAGACACAAAACCACCACAAAGACACAAAAAACAAGACACATAAAACCACCACAAAGACACACAAAACAAAAGAGACATAAAACCACCACAAAGACACACAAACAAAAGAGACATAAAACCACCACAAAGACACACAAAACAAAAGAGACATAAAACCACCACAAAGACACACAAAACAAAAGAGACATAAAACCACCACAAAGAGACACAAACCTACCACAAAGAAACTTAAAACCACAAGAAAGACACTCGAAACAAAAGAGACATAAAATCACCACAAAGACACACAAAACAAAAGAGACATAAAACCACCACAAAGAGACACAAACCTACCACAAAGAAACTTAAAACCACAAGAAAGACACTCAAAACAAAAGAGACATAAAATCACCACAAAGACACACAAAACCACCACAAAGACACACAAAACAAAAGAGGGGGCGGCTGTGGCTCAGGAGGTAGAGCGGGTTGGCCGTTAATCGGAAGGTCGGCGGATCAATCCTGGCTCCCCCTGGTTGCATGTCGAAGTGTCCTTGGGCAAGATACTGAACCCCGAATTGCCCCTGGCGGCTATTCCGCCAGTGTATGAGTGAGTGTGAATGTTAGTTTCCGTTTGAGCACTTAGGCTCAGTGTATGAATGTGTGTGACTGGTGAATGCAGATGTAGTGTAAAAGCGCTTTGAGTGGTCGAAAAGACTAGAAAGGCGCTATACAAGTACGGAGCATTTACATTAACAAAAGAGACACAAAACCACCACAAACAGACACAAAGCCACCACAAAGAAACTTAAAACCACCAGAAAGACAGTCAAAACAAAAGAGACATAAAACCACCACAAAGACACACAAACAAAAGAGACACAAAACCACCACAAAGACACACAAAGCTACCACAAAGAGAAATAAACCCACCACAAAGACACAGAAAACAAAAGAGACATAAAACCACGACAAGGACACACAAAACAATAGAGACACAAAACTACCACAAAGAAACTTAAAACCACCAGAAAGACACTGAAAACAAAAGAGAAATAAAACCACCACAAAGACACACAAAGCCACCACAAAGAGAAATAAACCCACCACAAAGACACACAAAACAAAAGAGACACAAAACCACCAGAAAGACACTCAAAACAAAAGAGAAATAAACCACCACAAAGAGAAACAAAACAAAAGAGACATAAAACCACCACAAAGACACACAAAGCCACCACAAAGAGAAATAAACCCACCACAAAGACACAGAAAACAAAATAGACATAAAACCACGACATAGAGACACAAAACCACCACAAAGACACACAAAACAAGACACAGAAAACCACCAGAAAGACACACAAAACAAACGAGACATAAAACCACCACAAAGACACACAAAACAAAAGAGAGACACAAAACCATCACAAAGACACACAAAACAAAAGAGACACATAACCACCACAAAGACACACAAAGCCACCACAAAGAGACATAAAACCACCACAAAGACACAGAAAACAAGAGACATAAAACCACCACAAAGAGACACAAAACCACCACAAAGACGCACAAAACAAGACACATAAAACCACCACAAAGAGACACAAAACCATCACAAAGACACACAAAACAAAAGAGACACAAAACCACCACAAAGAGACACAAAACAAAAGAGACATGAAACCACCACAAAGACACACAAAACAAAAGAGACATGAAACCACCACAAAGAGACATAAAACAAGAGACATGAAACCACCACAAAGAGACATAAAACCTCCACAAAGCCACCACAAAGAGACACAAAACCACCACAAAGACAAACAAAACAAGAGACATATAACCACCACAAAGACACACAAAACAAAAGAGACACAAAACCACCACAAAGACACACAAAACAAAAGAAAACCACCACAAAGACACACAAACAAAAGAGACATAAAACCACCACAAAGACACACAAAACAAAAGAGACATAAAACCACCACAAAGACACACAAAACAAAAGAGACATAAAACCACCACAAAGAGACACAAACCTACCACAAAGAAACTTAAAACCACAAGAAAGACACTCGAAACAAAAGAGACATAAAATCACCACAAAGAGACACAAAACAAAAGAGACATAAAACCACCACAAAGAGACACAAACCTACCACAAAGAAACTTAAAACCACAAGAAAGACACTTGAAACAAAAGAGACATAAAATCACCACAAAGAAACTTAAAACCACAAGAAAGACACTCGAAACAAAAGAGACATAAAATCACCACAAAGAAACTTAAAACCACAAGAAAGACACTCGAAACAAAAGAGACATAAAATCACCACAAAGACACACAAAACAAAAGAGACACAAAACCACCACAAAGACACACAAAACAAAAGAGACATAAAACCACCACAAATAAACTCAAAACAAAAGAGACACAAAACCACCACAAAGACACACAAAACAAAAGAGACACAAAACCACCACAAAGACACACAAAGCCACCACAAAGAGACATAAAACCACCACAAAGAGACATAAAACCACCACAAAGACACACAAAACAAAAGAGAGACACATAACCATCACAAAGACACACAAAACAAAAGAGACACAAAACCACCACAAAGAGACACAAAACAAAAGAGACATGAAACCACCACAAAGACACACAAAACAAAAGAGACATGAAACCACCACAAAGAGACATAAAACCTCCACAAAGACACACAAAGCCACCACAAAGAGACACAAAACCACCACAAAGACACACAAAACAAAAGAGACACAAAACCACCACAAAGACACACAAAACAAAAGAGACACAAAACCACCACAAAGACACACAAAACAAAAGAGACATAAAACCACCACAAAGACACACAAAACAAAAGAGACACAAAACCACCACAAAGAGACACAAAACCACCACGCAGAGATACAAACCACCAGGTTCAGGTCGGGGCAGAGGGAGATCTTTATGGTTCAGTACTGTTAAGGTTCAAGTTTGGGACAGATGGAGGTCTTTACGGTTCAGTACTGTTAAGATTCAGGTTGTGGACGTGTCTCCGGTGATGCTCCTAGAGCCATCTTTCAGTGTCAAACACCTTCCTCAAGGTGACCGAGCTGGGGGCCACTCAGGCCCCATATTGTGTCCAGATGGCTAACTACTTACCTAACCTTGGACCGCTGCAGACTGTTTTTTGATCAATTTGATCAATCAGTTTTCCAGACTTCTGAATCTCTTGTGGGTTTATTTAGACGGTTGGTTTCTGCAGAGCTCTGAGAGTTTTCTGGAGTCAAACAGCAGACACTGCTGACTGATTGATTGATGAAGTGGGTTATCTCTGGTGTGTATCTCAGCTAGTTCAGTTAGTAGGGTTTTTCTGTGTACTTCTGGCATATTCTGACTGTTTGATTGAAAATACCACATCATGTGCACTTAAATAGCTTCATGTATTTCAGATCTGGACTTCAAGCCATGGTTTCCTCTCTGAGCTCTGGTCTGCTCACTCAGCCCTGCTACCGTATCAGTTTCAGTCACTTCCTTTTGTTAGTTTCACGTTCTTACCTGCATGTTTTTACACGTGAGGTTGAAAGTTTGAAGATTAACACATCAGATAATAAAGTGACTCTTTGGATGATTGGCATCTTAGATGGGTTCACACTGTATTTCTGTCATTATGGATGTGACACAAAGATGAATTGGCTTCGAGTTTGTCCTTACTTCCTGTTTATAAAAGCAGGATGAGCTGCAGTTTGCAGACTCATCCAGCAGGGTGAGACACTGCTCTACAGTAAACTGGAGTAATGAATTCATCAAATGGACTCATCATAATTAATCTGCCGTGGTGCTCAGTGATCCAGTCAGTGTTTGATTCTGGGTGATGATAGAGATAATCAGATCCAGAGGAGGACGAGGGGGAGAACAAACGACAGAAAGAGGAGAACGAGGAGCATCTCTTCAGCCTGTCAGTCGTTCAGAAGCTCACACTGACTGAATCATCGGCTCTGATCCTCCTCCTCACAGACAGGAGGAGGAGGAGGAGGAGGAGGAGGAGGAGGATGCGCTGCTCTCTCAGCAACAAGAAGCAGCAGAAGTCAAACAGTGATGTGATGGAAACGCTGCAGGACTGAAAGGTGTGAAGCTTCCATGCTGGAATCTGGTGAGTTTTTAATGTCGCTGCTAAATGAGACTGAAACATTCTTTTGTAAAATATATAAGAATCGAGAGATGATTCAAATCCAAGTAGGCCAGCAGGTCACTGAACAGAAATAACTCTCCTTTATTTCCTTCAAGCCCTGAAGAAGACGAGTTTATCAGAGGAAGCTGAGGACAGGAAAGCTTCGGCTCCAGATGGACTGTTTTCAGCAGAGAGCTGAGACTAGATGCTGATTTATTTTTCTTATTTCTTCCAAAGAAGTGGCGTGTTTCCAGCAGAAGATGGAGTCTGCACGCTGTCTGGCTTTTTAAAAAAAACAAAATGAAGTTTGGAGGCAGCAGCCGGAATTCCATGGCCGGGAGCTGAGGCTCAGCAGCAGCACCACATGTTGCATTAACGGAAAGTAACATTTGGAAGCTGGTGGTTTAGGGAACAGAGACACGACGTGGACACAGCTCTTGACAGGATGAAGTCTGGAAGCGGTCTCTGCACCCTGAACGTGGGCGGCCGCAGGTTCTCCTTCTCAGCGGAGCTGATGAAGCGACTCCCGCTCAGCAGACTCAGCCGGCTGCATCGCTGCGTGTCAGAGAGCGAGCTGCTGGAGCTCTGCGACGACTATGACCGCGACAGGAATGAGTTTTTCTTCGACCGCCACTCGGAGGCCTTCAGCTTCATCATGCTGTACGTGCAGCACGGGACGCTGCGCTTTGTGCCGCACATGTGTGAGCTGTCCTTCTACAACGAGATGCTGTACTGGGGCCTGGAGAGCGCCGACCTGCAGCCCTGCTGCCAGCGGCGCCTCGACGAACGATTGTCCGACTGCTTTGTCCACTTCTTCCCCGAGGAGGAGCCCCGGGACCCCGAGGAGCCCCAGGGCCGTTGGCTGGAGAGGATGAGGAGGACGTTCGAGGAGCCCACGTCTTCGCTGGCGGCACAGATCCTGGCCTCTGTGTCAATGCTGTTCGTGGTCATCTCCATGGTGATGCTTTGTGCCAGCACTTTACCCGACTGGAAGACCACAGAGACCCTGGACCAGCACAGGTAGGACCATCCGAGACCACCTGAAGATAGGCCCCATACAAACACAAGACACGGCCGAGACCACCTAAAGACAGACTGCGTACAAACACCAGACATGACCAAGACCACCTGAAGACAGACCACGTACAAACACAAGACACAACAGAGACTACCTGAAGACAGCCCACGTACAAACACAAGACATGACCAAGACCACCTGAAGACAGACCACGTACAAACACAAGACACAACAGAGACTACCTGAAGACAGCCCACGTACAAACACAAGACATGACCAAGACCACCTGAAGACAGACCACGTACAAACACAAGACACAACAGAGACTACCTGAAGACAGCCCACGTACAAACACAAGACATGACCAAGACCACCTGAAGACAGCCCACGTACAAACACAAGACATGACCAAGACCACCTGAAGACAGACCGCGTACAAACACAAGACACAACAGAGACTACCTGAAGACAGCCCACGTACAAACACAAGACACAACAGAGACCACCTGAAGACAGCCCGCATACAAACACAAGACATGACCAAGACCACCTGAAGACAGACCGCGTACAAACACAAGACATGACCAAGACCACCTGAAGACAGACCGCATACAAAACAAGACACGACCAAGACCACCAGTAGACAGACCACGTTCAAACACAAGACACGACCGAGACCACCTGAAGACAGACCACGTACAAACACAAGACACAACCGAGACCACCTGAAGACAGACCGCGTACAAACACAAGACACGACCGAGACCACCTGTAGACAGACCACGTACAAAAACAAGACACGACCAAGACCACCTGAAGACAGCCCGCATACAAAACAAGACACGACCAAGACCACCAGTAGACAGACCACGTTCAAACACAAGACACAACCGAGACCACCTGAAGACAGACCACGTACAAACACAAGACACAACCGAGACCACCTGAAGACAGACCGCGTACAAACACAAGACACGACCGAGACCACCTGTAGACAGACCACGTACAAAAACAAGACACGACCAAGACCACCTGAAGACAGATCGCGTACAAGCCAAGAATACATCTGAGACCAACTGTAGACAGACCGCGTACAAGCCAAGAATACATATGAGACCACCTGTAGACAGACCGCGTACAAACACAAGACACGACCGAGACTACCTGAAGACAGACCGCGTACAAGCCAATAATGCATCTGAGACCACCTGTAGACAGACCGCGTACAATAATAATTAAAATAATAACTAGAACTCCAAACAGTTATAAAAGGGGTCCAAGCCTCCAGTCGTGCAAGCAAACCCCCAGCGCCCCACGGACGCGAAACGCAGTGGAAAATGCTCAAAAAGAGCAACTCCAAATGGCTATTTCAGCATATTTATTGTTGTCATAAAAGCGCCATCTAGTGGCTGGCTGACAGATTTTGCACAGCTCCCCAGGGCAACATGGTCGGCTAGAGCAAGTAGAGTAAAGCGGAAAGCTATTACACCTTTTCCCAGTGTAATCTCAAAATGAGATTTCTGTTTAGAATGCTACATATCGAAATGAGGACTTTTATGTACAGAAGAATAAAAATAATGAAACCTTAATGTTCCAAAAGGGTTCTTAGCACGGCTGGTACTGGGACCCACAATGTTTTGCATTCGCTGGATCCCAGCCCCACATGGGCTTGGACCCCTAATAGCTGACATACTGTAAAAAAACATATGTGAATGTGCAAGTCTCTGATTGGTCCCCTCCTCCCACCGATGGGTCCTCTACCCTTCTCTCTGATTGGTCCTCTCTCTCTCCCTTCTCTCTGATTGCCCCTTGGCTGCAGGATCATCGAGGCGGTGTGTATCGGTTGGTTCACGGCGGAGTGTCTTGTGCGTTTCCTGCTGTCTCGGGATAAGTGTGAGTTTGTCCGCCGTCCTCTGAACATCATCGACCTGCTGGCCATCACACCGTATTACGTCTCCGTGACCATGACGGTTCTGACAGGGGAGAACTCCCAGCTGCAGCGTGCCGGGGTCACTCTGCGTGTCCTGCGCATCATGCGGATCTTCTGGGTAATCAAACTGGCGCGTCACTTCATGGGCCTGCAGACACTCGGCCTGACGCTGCGCCGTTGCTACCGCGAGATGATGATGCTGCTGGTTTTCATCTGCGTCGCCATGGCTATCTTCAGCGCGCTAGCACAGCTTCTGGAGCATGGCCTGGACCTGGAGACAGGGAACCAGGACTACGCCAGCATCCCCGCCGCCTGCTGGTGGGTCATCATCTCCATGACCACAGTGGGGTACGGGGACATGTACCCGGTGACGGTGGCGGGCCGCGTGCTGGGCGGGCTCTGTGTGGTGAGCGGCATCGTGCTGCTGGCGCTGCCCATCACCTTCATCTACCACAGCTTCATCCAGTGCTATCACGAGCTCAAGGTGCGCTCCGCCCGCTGCGCCCACAGCCTGTCTGCAGAGCTGATCCACTGACCAGTGGCGGGGAGGGGCGGCACTCGGAGCTCAGCGCGCCGCACCTTTACTACAGCTGGAGAGCTGCCTCACCCGTTCAGGTGTGTCTTTTAGGAGCTGAAGGTTTGAACAGCCTCCTCATACAGCAGGGGTTCATCAAACAAACGAACGTATTGATTTATGAGAAACTTGACTGAAAGTGTTTCCTTCAGCTTCACCAGCTGGCAGAACCTCAGTTTCTCTGTGGTTCAGCCTGGCGAGCTTTAAAAGGTGCACTGTGTAAGAGTTCACTTCATACTCCAGAAAGATCCCACACATTAGATTCATTCTGCTGGTAACGGCCGTTAGCTAGTTAGCTCAGATAGCTGTGCAGCTAACGGACAACAGAACCGTGCTCTGCAGCCTCCCAGTGATCACGGCTGGACTGAACAGAGCCTCAGAGGCCGACAGATGCCGGTCTGACAACAGGAAGTACAGTACGAGGTGGTTGACAGGACTCTGACCAGGACTCTGACTCTGGGGCGCGATGAAGACTCGGTGGGAGTGAGTGAGAGGGAGATTTATGCTGACTGGTTAATAAAATGCTACAGTAGCACAAACCAATAGCAGACGCTCTCACGACAGAATCCTTTTCTAATAAGAACACAGGGAGCATATTTTCATGCTCTATTACAGCATATTTAGTCTCGATGCATCGGTATCGTGTGTGTGGAAACAGACCAAGACAAAGTGGGTCATGTGCAGAACCGCTGAGTAGCACATCTCGACAGGTAGCATAAACTGACAGAACTTCAGGGAGGAGGAAAGTTTTCACTTCTGCCTCTCAGCTGCTGCTGTTTGTTGAACAGCTGAAAGACGGTTCTGTGAGTTTATTTCCTTTCTGTGGAGTTTGGATGAAGGGTGTTTTACGATGAGTTATTATTATTAATATTATTTAGTTCATTAAGAGACTCAGAAAGCTCAGACAGCTGGTGGAACATAGAGAACTGAACCTACGGGGGGCTGAGCTGGACAGGACTGTCGCCGCTCCAGGTACAGAGTGGTGTTACAGGACGGGCTGCGGCTAGCTGTTAGCATGCTAACTGTTTTTCTTCACATCCTGTTGATCATGGGGTGTGTTTTAAAAATCTTATACACTGCACCTTTAAAAGAAACTCTGTAATGACTACAAAGATATTAATGTTGAAATTTAAAGTTAATTTAAAGCACTGAAATATTTTACTTTGAAAACCATCAGTCTGAATCAGACTCTGAAGTCACAGCCAGGCTTATTTTTGGTATTTAAACAGTACACAGTACAGAGTACACAGTATATATACAGTAAACTACATTTATTATTTTAGCTGACGCTTCTATTCAAAGAGACTTACAGTTACTATATGTGTCAGAGGTCACATACCTGTGGAGCAAGTAGGGGTTAAGGGTCTTGCTCAGGAACACATTGGTGTCAGAGTGGGGTATAAATATATATTTTAGGGTTCATAAGTTCAGATTAAAGAATTCAAAAAGTATTTACAGTTCACAAAACGTCAGAATTTCTGCTGTAAATGCTGCATTTAAACATGGGGGTCTACGGGACTGACCGGCCTTCAGGGCCAGACTCTGGTGGTCACTGGAGGAACTGCAGGTTTTGGCTTCAGATTGTTGCTTGATTAATGATGTATTAACAATGTATTGATAATGTATTAATAGATTGATGTGGCCCCTCCTATCAGGTCCTGTACCAGTTCTTCTAACAGATCCAGGGTTTCATTCTGTCACAGGTATTTAAAGTAAAATATTTTAGTGCTTTAAATTCATGTAAAACAAATCAAATCTTTCTGTTTGCTCCCATAAAAGTGGAAAAACTTCCCTTTAAATGTGATGAATGACGAACACCAGGTCTGTTCTGGGACTCTTCATGAATCCAGACCAGAACCAGGTATGGTCTGAAGGAAACAGAAACACCAGCTGATCTCCTGTAGCACCCCCCTCAGGACCAGCACTCTGGGGTGTAACCGGACCTGTTGGGAACGGCTGGACACCGTCCATTGTTTCCATGGCAACAGCAGACTCAGAGACAGGAAATACAAGTGTTGGACACATTTGAATGTCAGGACAGCGGAGCTGCTGGAGTGTGAATCATCTCGCTGAAGACACTTGTTGTATTTCTTCTCCTTTGGTGTGAATTTCTGCAGGGTTCAAACCAAAGCACAATCCAGTACTGTCCCTTTAAGCTCCCCTTTAAATGTGCATCAATAAATCCAGATCGGTTCTTCATTAAAGAGCAGTTGGGTGTTTTTGACCGGCAGAAAACTCGTCTTTGCGTCACCTGGAAGGACTCACCTGAGTCCGAAAATTTAAACCGGTCCCCATTCCAGAGAAGCTTATGGAGCTACAGGTTGTTTAGTGTCTCACAGAAAGTATTTTTATTATGAAGGGAAGGGAAATATTTCCTGATGGACAGATAGCTTTACTTGTTGCTAACGCCACAGTAACTGCTAGCTGCTGCTAACGGCAGCTACTGTCATCAGCTGGCTCTGAACCAACGGTCCAAAGCTTCTGTACTCATGTTAGACGCCCTCGGGTGTCATTAGGAATATTCTACCCTAACATGGTAAGAAAAATAATTATCAGATTTAGAATTTCTTGTCTTTTTTTCTTTTTTTTTGCAGTGCAGACATGTACTCAACAAAGAGAAGCAAGAATATTGAGAAATAATACAGAATAATAAAAATATAATTTGTACTGTAGCCAGGCTGACAGAGAGTCACAGCTCTATTGAGCCAAGTATTCCCATAGCTCTCAGTAGTTACGACTTCATGAGCTTCTTTAATGATAAAATTCTAGCTATTAGAGACGAAATTCACCAAGACCTGCCCTCAACTGGCACCAACTTATCTCTTACCTCAGGAACCTTAGAAACAGCTGTAGAACCAGATACATGTTTAGACTGTTTTGCTTCCCTCAATCTTTACCAACTAACTTCAATAATTTCTTCATCTAAACCATCAACCTGCCTCTTAGACCCCATCCCGACTAGGCTGCTTAAAGATGTTTTACCCTTAGTCAGCACCTCTATACTAGATATGATCAATCTATCTTTATCAACAGGCTATGTACCACAGTACTTTAAAGTAGCTGTAATTAAACCTCTTCTGAAAAAGCCCAAACTTGATCCGGATGTTTTAGCCAACTATAGACCTATATCTAACCTTCCATTTCTCTCTAAGGTTCTGGAGAAAGCAGTTGCTAAACAGCTGTGTGACTTTCTACAGAGCAATAGTTTATTTGAGGATTTTCAGTCAGGATTTAGAGCTCATCATAGCACAGAGACAGCACTGGTGAAAATTACTAATGACCTCCTTATTGCATCAGACAAAGGACTTGTCTCTGTACTGGTTTTATTAGATCTTAGTGCTGCATTTGATACCATTGACCATCAGATCCTATTGCAGAGACTGGAATATTTCATTGGCATTAAAGGAACCGCTCTAAGCTGGTTTAAGTCCTATTTATCAGATCGATTTCAGTTTGTACATGTTAACGATGAGTCCTCCATGCACGCCAAAGTTAGTCATGGAGTTCCTCAAGGATCTGTCCTCGGACCAATCCTCTTCACTTTATATATGCTTCCTTTAGGCAATATTATCAGGAAATATTCCATAAACTTTCACTGTTATGCAGATGATACTATATCTATATATATATATATATCGATCAAGCCAGATGAAACTCATCAGTTAGCTAAACTTCAAATGTGCCTTCAGGATGTTAAAATCTGGATGACCTGTAATTTTCTCATGTTAAACTCAGATAAAACTGAAGTTATTGCTCTGGGGCCTAAGCACCTCCGTGACACATTATCTAAAGATATAGTTTCCCTTGATGGCATCGCCCTGGCCTCCAGCACCACTGTGAGGAATCTTGGAGTTATCTTTGATCAGGACATGTCGTTTAAGTCTCACATTAAGCAAATTTCAAGGACCGCCTTTTTTCACCTACGTAATATTTCGAAAATCAGGAACATCCTGTCTAAAAATGATGCAGAAAAACTAGTCCATGCATTTGTTACTTCTAGGCTGGATTACTGCAATTCCTTATTATCAGGCTGCTCGAAAAAGTCCATTAAGACTCTTCAGCTGATCCAGAATGCTGCAGCACGTGTTCTGACAGGAACCAGGAAAAGAGATCACATTTCTCCTGTTTTAGCTTCTTTGCATTGGCTTCCAGTAAAATCCAGAATAGAATTTAAAATCATTCTTCTTACCTACAAAGCTCTAATGGTCAGGCACCATCTTATCTTAAAGAGCTCATAGTACCTTACTACCCCACCAGAGCACTGCGCTCCCAGAATGCAGGGTTACTTGTGGTTCCTAGAGTCTCCAAAAGTAGACTAGGAGCCAGAGCGTTCAGCTATCAAGCTCCTCTCCTGTGGAACCAGGTTCCAGTTTGGGTTCAGGAGGCAGACACCATCTCCACATTTAAGAGTAGGCTTAAGACTTTCCTCTTTGATAAAGCTTATAGTTAGGGCTGGCTCAGGTGAGTCCTGAACCATCCCTTAGTTATGCTGCTATAGGCCTAGACTGCCGGGGGATTTCCTATGATGCACTGAGCTCCTCTCTCCTCTACTTTCTCTCCCTCTGTATGCAACCTCATCCCATTATTGCATGTTACAAACACAACTTCTCCCCTTTCCGGTAGTCTTGTGCTTTCTCGTCCCTCTCCTCTCTCCTCCTATCACTTCCTGCAGGTTTTCTGGCTCTGGAGCTGTGGAGTCTGGATCTGTGGTTGCGGGTCACCTGCTGCCCCTGTGTTCCTGCTCGACACCCTCTGCTGCAACGACTATTGTTACTAGTCTTATTAGACCGTGCGAGGTCCCTATTGAATTTGCTCGGATTATATATATATTTAGGGCCCGAGCACGACCGTGTGAGGTCCCTATTGAATTTGCTCGGATTATATATATATATTTAGGGCCCGAGCACGACCGTGCGAGGTCCCTATTGAATTTGCTCGGATTATATATATATATATTTAGGGCCCGAGCACGACCGTGCGAGGTCCCTATTGAAATTGCTCGGATTATTAGGGCCCGAGCACGACCGTGCGAGGTCCCTATTGAATTGCTCGGATTATTATTTTTTTTTTTTTTTTTTTTTTCTGCAAAGTAGGCCCAAATGACATGGCCTAAACATACTCGAAAACTCACCAAAATTTGCAAACATGTCAGAACCGGTGAAAAATTTCGTATTCTACAAGTTTCGCACATGGGCGTGGCAAAATGACTCGCTAGCGCCACCTAGAAAATTGGAAATGATTAGCCCCTCGTTCACGTTCAACCTACATGTACGAAATTTTCTGGGGACATGTATCGTATCAAGACGCACAAAAAAGCCTCAAGAACCCATAGCCTAAAGTCAACAGGAAGTCGGCCATTTTGAATTTTATGGCCATTTTTGGATGATTTACACACTTCGTACTTTAACGAACTCCTCCTAGGGATTTAGTCGATCGACGTCAAATTTCTGCTGTGCCTTCTAAAGGCATTGACGATGAAAAGTTGTGCTATTTGCGAGTTTTCGTCAATGGGCGTGTCCGTGGCGTCGATGATTCGCAATGAAACAGGAAGTTGTTGTAACTTCAGTGTACATGCTCACATCTGGACCAAACTGTACATGTAGGATGAGAGTCCCGCCCTGAACACATGTACATGCCGACATTCACCCACAGTCATAGCGCCACCTGCTGGCAACAGAAAGTGACCTTTAACGAAGCAGCCCCCGCCGCACGTTTCACCTACGTGCACGAATTTTCTGTGGTACGTGTATCTGTCCAGACGCACAAAAAAGCCTCTTGGAGCCATAGCCTAAAATCAACAGGAAGTCGGCCATTTTGAATTTTACGTCAAATTTTGGATGATTTACACACTTCGTACTTTAACGAACTCCTCCTAGGGATTTAGTCCGACCGACCTCAAATTTGTGCTGTGCCTTCTAAAGGCATTGAAGATGAAAAGTTGTGCTATTTGCAAGTTTTCGTCAATGGGCGTGTCCGTGGCGTGGCGTCAAAGATCAGCTCTTCGCCATGACACGGAAGTTGTCGTAACTTCAGTGTACATGCTCACATCTGGACCAAACTGTACATGTAGGATGAGAGTCCCGCCCTGAACACATGTACATGCTGACATTCACACAGTCATAGCGCCACCTGCTGGCAACAGGAAGTGACTTTTAACGAAGCAGCCCCCGCCGCACGTTTACCTACGTGCACGAATTTTCTGTGGTACGTGTATCTTGTCCAGACGCACAAAAAAGCCTCTTGGAGCGATGCCCTAAAATCAACAGGAAGTCGGCCATTTTGAATTTTACGTCAAATTTTGGATGATTTACACACTTCGTACTTTAACGAACTCCTCCTAGGGATTTAGTCCGACCGACCTCAAATTTGTGCTGTGCCTTCTAAAGGCATTGAAGATGAAAAGTTGTGCTATTTGCAAGTTTTCGTCAATGGGCGTGTCCGTGACGTGGCGTCAAAGATCAGCTCTTCGCCATGACACGGAAGTTGTCGTAACTTCAGTGTACATGCTCACATCTGGACCAAACTGTACATGTAGGATGAGAGTCCCGCCCTGAACACATGTACATGCTCACATTCACAGACAGTCATAGCGCCACCTGCTGGCAACAGGAAGTGACTTTTAACGAAGCAGCCCCCGCCGCACGTTTTACCTACGTGCACGAATTTTCTGTGGTACGTGTATCTTGTCCAGACGCACAAAAAAGCCTCTTGGAGCGATGCCCTAAAATCAACAGGAAGTCGGCCATTTTGAATTTTACGTCAAATTTTGGATGATTTACACACTTCGTACTTTAACGAACTCCTCCTAGGGATTTAGTCCGACCGACTTCAAATTTGTGCTGTGCCTTCTAAAGGCATTGAAGATGAAAAGTTGTGCTATTTGCGAGTTTTCGTCAATGGGTGTGTCCGTGGCGTGGCGTCAGAGATCAAGTCTTCGCCATGACACAGGAAGTTGTTGTAACTTCAGTGTACATGCTCACATCTGAACCAAACTTTACGTGCTTGATAACTCTCCCACCCCGCTATGGAGGACCGATCCTGACACAGTCAGAAATAAATACAGAAATAAATAAATGCTCAATAAATAAATAAGCATCCAATTAAATACACAAAAAAATTAAGTAAATAAATAAATGTAGGTAGTAATTAAATTATACAAGGAGACATAAATGTATATTTTAATTAGTGCCTTTACTTATTCACCTTTGTTATAATTACCTTATTTGTTTATTCAACTTTATTTATTACTAATTTTTTTAATGTATTTATTTATGTGTGTGTTTTAATATTTTTGTCTGTTTTATTCTTC